AACCACAAAGGGCTTACAAGGCCTGACACGTTTTACGAGTTTTGCGTTGAGATCTTATGAACCTATTTCAGTGGCTGTATGGGTTGATTCTTGGATCTTAGATTCAGATATCATTTTAGGGTAACATTGAGATCTCCTATGTGTTATCTTCAAAGAGTTTCTAAGTCAATGCTGCAGGTCCTATGGGTTGATGACAATAACCATAACAGTCAACGTCACATACTTTTGGGGACATAATTCAACGGCGTAGCATACTTCTGACCAATTGACCACTTTGTCAAGCAGTTTTGGCGTGACTTTCTACCAGCGATTTCACAAAACTGGACCAACTAATTTTTATTTTTTTTATGAAACGCACAAATTTTGGCTACTTTTCTCGAGGTTCTAAAGAAAAAATCTCAAAATAATGTTTTATTTCAAAGTTCGAGTGGGGGTAAACATCATTTTAAGTGCTCGAATGAAGTGGTTAATTTAAGAACTCCCCACTGACTAACTGTTGTAGACCCTCCATGGCCCTTATTGGTTCCTATGGACTTCTTTGACGTTTCCCATATGACGTTATTGTGTTTAAGGAGCAGACCACATTCTTGCACATTTCATACACTCAGAATACCTCATGGTGTCCAAGGACCTTACTTACCAATCAGGCTAAGGCATGGTTGTCCTCTGCTGTCCGAAGAAGTTGTCTTCACTCGACTCGATCCACGGCAACATTTCACCAGCCTCGCAGTCTGCGAAGGGGCCTCTTCTACTTGGTCGATCCACCTTGCCCACTGCGTGCCTCTTTTTCTTGTTCCTGTTGGGTCACTTTCGAGAGCCATTTTCAGCTGCTCAGCCCACCGTAGTCGCCCAATTTTTGCAATGTGGACGATGGATGGCTCTCCCAGCAGCTGGTGCAATTCGTGGTTCATTCGCCTCCTCTTTCCGTCATCCATCTGTACTCCACAGTCGGTGGTACGCAACACTTTCCGTTCGAAAACACCAAGGGCGCATAGTCCATCGTGTGTAATCAGCGCACCACCGGTCTAATCAGCGTCTTGTAGATAGTCAACTTCGTGCGGCGGCGAATTTTATTCGACCGGAGCGTCCTCCGGAGACCAAAGTAGGCATGTAGGTGTCCAAGGAGTTTACCCCATTATCACCGACGAATCGACGTGACAGCTGATACAAGCAACATTCAAATTCTTTCCCAAGACGCCATATTTAAAAACTTTAAACACTACCGCCATCTACTCATCCGATCGCGTCACATCATGAGCAAGGACACGAACCCAGGTAAAAATTATATTTCCATGATTTGCGTCTCACCTCGTTTGACCATCGGTACCATTATTGCACTCACACTTAAGCATTTTGCAAACGTCAGAAAAGTCTATAGTATAAACCAAGATAGACTTTATGGATCTACATTAGTGGCCTTATGAAGTAATATTTGAAATTCTTAAAGTTAACTTCTGGGATCTTAACTTCATCAACCTGACTACAGACTTCGAAGGGCTTACGCGATAGCTACAGATACCTCGTGAATCAGCTTAGGGGGTCTTACAAATCTGCTTCAGAGGCTCAAGAGTTGGGTGTTCAATACTAGTCAGTAGAAGGCATTACAGATAAACTTTATTGGACGTATTAGAAAACTTCATTGGTCAATTCCAGATATCTCGTAGAGAATTCAAGACCAACAATTGAAATGGCCTTAACTCCATTTTGTAAACAAACCTTGTAAGCCCATTTTCTTGCGAACCGAAACCTTCATTCGCAAACCTAAACCACAATCGGGTAGAGGAGAATTTCCCCTACCTGTTGCCTTTGCGGAATTCGGTTTGCGAGAAAATGGCCTTACAAGGTTTGTTTACAAAATGGAGTTAAGGCCATTTCAATTGTTGGTCTTGAACTGGTAGATCGGGCTCAAACACCTTGATGCAGGGATGATGAACGATCCCAAATAAAGATCCAGATTTATGATCAATACAAACCCAAAAATCACAAAGGACAATTCTGAAAACGATAATGCGATTATCAATTTATGTTACAGATCATGATCATATGAAATAGCGATAATCTCCGATCAACTGTCGTCACTGTGAATTCCCAAGAAAAATAATATGCGTATTTTTGGAACGGGGATGACGTATAGAGATCGAAAATCGGTGTCCACCGCCATTTTGAAATCCAAAATGGCAGCCCTCATGGCGGAAAAAAAACTGTGAAATACCCTACAATATTTGTATTTTAGGAACTGGAATGACGTGATTAGTCGAAAATTGATGTCTGCCACCATTTTGGAATCCAAGATGGCGGTCATCGATTTCATAAAAAAAAACTGTCAAATACCCTCCAATATGGTTATTTTAGGAACTGGGATGACGTATATATGTCGAAAATTGATGTCCGCCACCGTTTTGGAATCCAAGATGGCGGTATACTAGTATATTTAAGTTTTTTTCTAAAACCAATGGCCGCCATCTTGGATTTCAAAATGGCGGCGGACATCGATTTTCGACATTTACACGGTTCAAAAATACGGGTTGTGGGGTATTTGATATTTTTTTTACCACAGTGATACCAAGGACCACAATATTGGATTCCAGAATGACGGCGGACATAGATTTACGGCCTATACACGTCATCCTAGTTCCTAAAATACCCATATTGGAGGGTAAATGACAGTTTTCTTGAAACTACGGCCGCCATATTGGATTACAAAATGGCGGCGGACATCGATTTTCTTCCACTACATGTCATCCTGGTTTCAAAAACATTCATATTGTATAAATAGAGAGAGAGAGAAGGATTAGTAATTTCCATTTAACTCCACTACCTTATTTGCTTATCCTTCACAGATACGCGTATTTCGTCTACAATGTGCAGACGAAATACGCGTATCGGTCAAGGATAAGCAAATTAAATGAAAATTACTAATCCTTCTCTCTATCTCTCACTCTCTTTATACAGGTATTCCACTTAGACGTCCACATTCATCAGGATCCATATTGTAGCCTATTTGACCTTCAGAACAACTATGCCGAAGACAGCAGCCCTAATAAACGAGCACCATACATGAACGATACCACAAATCGTGCCACCGTACCATATATTGTTGGGATGATAACCCGAATAGGTTGTTAGGCACTCCTTATGGTTATCGTTTATGCGGGAGGTTCCTAGATTTCGAGATACATTACACAGTGATTGTTATCATATCAGTGAACTATCGTTTTTGTTGCTGATGATGATGTGTAACGGGTCAACTGCAGATATCGTGAAGAGTCTAGATGGATCAGCTTATAGTTAAATTCCAGAAGCCTTCCGCGACAAGCTTACGGAAAAGTTTACATAGCTTGTGGATTATTTTCAGAGGTGTTAGCCAACTGTTGAGGTCCTATGGGTTAACTTTGTAAGTCCCTACTACAGGAATTTATTATATCAACATCGGATGTCTTTACGGAATAAGTCTGCAAATCTTATGAGTTCATTTGAATCATGAGCCTCAATATATTGTATCAACTCCGAAGGCCTTGTGAGTCGCACTTCACCTCTGGCTTAGTAATACCATACCTTGACTGACTGGGTTAAGGTCTCAGCTATCCTAGTCAGGAAAGACACGGTACTACCAAGCCAGAGGCGGCGCTTTTGATTCCTGTTCCGGTGTAGAACATGTTTCGGGTTGGAAAAGTTCCCGACTTCCCTGGGCATATTTATTATATTGACTGTGCTTGCCACATAATACACAAATTCTTGCTTTGATTAACATAGTAAGCTTCTAATTAATAACTGTAGAAGTGCTTCAAACAATACTAAGTTAGTTGAGAGTAAGCGTACGCTCTTATAAGAGCGTCAAAGCCAGGAAGAAGAATAACTAACTAGGCTATACAAGGCCCAAAAACTCTCTGGATACTTCGGAATCTGCAAGAAGTTCCAGGAACTCCTAACTTTAAAATAAATTTCTGAAACCCGAGAAATCACGGCACTTTGAGATCATTTAAAACATACGAAACTTCTAAAACTGCCGGTACCTCGGAGCACTACAACACACTGCCTCGGAGCACTACAACACACTGCGTGTCTTCGAAGTTATAAGCTCCAGGAGTTGCTTTTGTTTTGTAAATTATGTTCTGAGGTACTTAAAGTTTCCGGAGTTCCAGACATTTTCAAAGTTCCGTGGTTTCTTGAAGGTTCTGAGTTTATTGGATTTTCAAGTGTTTTTTAACACCCCTTAATTCTAAATCGTCATGAAGTACTGACATATTTCCTGTCCAGCATACCTACCGGGAACTTTAGGTCAGATGGAGTTTTGGATTGGTGATTAATGTTCCGAAAGTTCCCAAAATTCCAGGAAGCTCGATACTTATGTCCCGACTTTCTCTGAATTCCTGGAACGCTGAGAATTCTTAGAGCTCCGGGGTGTGTTTCCTACCCGGGACATCCCGGGAAATTTACCAAATAATACGTTTCCCGATTCGCGGGAAACAATTTTAGAAGTATTTTTGATTTTTTCCAATAGAGTTATTAGAATCATCGTCCAGAGGAAGTCTAAAGATCTTCTAAAGGAAGTCGGAAGAATTCTCTAGGTAAAATTACCAAGATGATTTTTCTAAGGAAAGCCAGAAGAAATTCTGTCCAGGAAAAACTTCCGAGGAAATCAGAAGACATTTCATTAAAATGTCAATTTGTTTACGTTTGTTACATGTGACCTATTATTTAAAATGAATTCTAAAACTGTAGACAAATTATTTACTCAGTTCAAATACCATTATTTAATTCAAATTTCAGCCAAAAACAGTTAAAAATAAAAATCTCAAAAGTAACACAACTGCTGAAATAAACAAGTTATTTCGATCTTTCAAATTATCAATCTCGATCCTAGCTCAAAAAATCAATGATCCATCGTCCATTTCGTACGATAACAATAAATAAAAACCCTACGCTGGATCCGGAAATCCTCGTTCCAGCACCCTCTCGACAGAATTCTTATTAAGTCTCATTCGTAAATATGTATGTATGTGTGTATGGGTTTGTGTGTTCTTGTTCATGTTTGAGAGTGTGTCAGTGGTGGTACTGCGTTGTCTTCAATCACTTTTCAGAACCGATTCCAACGGATTGGGACCACGGAACTTCGAGGTAGACGAAGCGGACAGCGAAGGCTTCCAACCTCCTTCCGATAGCCCAACGCCACCGCCATTACCAACTCCGCCAACACCACCGCCGCCACCACCTCCAGCAACACTGGAGGAAATCAGGGTGGAAGATTTGGCCGCTGATCCGCCTTCCACATAGGCCGTCCGTTGGGTTTGCAGACAGTTGAGCCACTCGGAGAGAGTGATCTTCCGGTCGTTATTTACGTCGCAATACCGGGGCATCTTTTTGCCGCACTTGCGCAGTTGTCTTTTTGGGAAAGTGTACACATTGTAGCATACTGGTACCATTGAAGGTGAATTCGTCAAAAAGAACTATGAACCACTTACCTTGTTTCCGTGACAAGCTCCCGGAAGGTTTTCCACTCTTTCCTCTCCCAAACCTTGTTCTTGTTCTTATCCAGAAGCACAAAGCTGAGAGTCGCAATCTTTTCGTCTTCGCTTCCCCACTTCGTGTTGTCCGCTCTGGAATAAAAGAAAAATTCACATTTCCAAACCAACCCAAATCATAACCGAGTCCTAAAAAAAAACTTACGCCGTCACCGAATTACTCGCAATCTGTTGCTTCAAAAAGTCTTTCAAATCTCGCAAAAAATCCAACTTCTTATCATCCGGACAGCCACGCATCTGTCGACCTCCGACGCCCGGATAGACGTCACACTGCGGTCGTTTGTCCTTGGTCGACGTTCCGGGAATGTTCTTTCCCGTATCCTCGTGGACGCACCAGCAATAACCGGTGGAAAGATAGCACTGCACCCGTTGGTACCGACCATCTGCGGTACACTCCGGAACGTACAACGCGGTGGCTCCACTCTGGAAAGCGAAATCCATTCTCATTAAAACCGGCATCCAATAATGGGGCATCCGGAAGGAACTCACCCTTTGCTCTTCCAAAGCGGCCGTCCGGTCACTCAAGCAGTCCGATTCGGCTTCGCTGTCCTTGAAGATGGGATCCTGGTCACCCTTCAGCTCCAGTGTTGTTTTGCCTTGTAGCACTGAGCTCAAGAGGGGGAAAAGAGGAAAAGAGATTAGCCCTACTGTGTGTTGGCATTGAAATATGAGCATTTTTTGAAGATCTGAAGCGTGTCCTAGATGTTGCCTAGCAGCAGCACATTTGAACGTAAAATTGGCGCCGTTTTGACGTAGGATTATGTCTTTCGGCAACATATTGGGGGTGCAATTTCAAAAAACCAAAATCGACCACGTTACGAAAAGTGGTCAGGTTTTGACCTGCTTATAACTCTGTCAATATCGGAAGGAGTTTAATTCTAAACAAGCCAATCGATTGGAAATTTTTCTACGAGTCTGCTAAAATCAACACTTTATCAATTTTCAATAGGTCTCTATTGATAATTACACAAATGTCCAACAGTTGTAATGGTGTTCAAAATTGTCACCGATTGCCTGAATGTGCTTATTCAAGCACCGTGTGTGGTGGTGTCCGATCGGTCGTCATCATCAGCAGCAGCAGCAATGCTTTCTGCGCCTGGCGTTGAACGCTGTTCTCCGATACACAACGAAAGGCAGCCCGCAAGCAGCGAGCTGCAGCCCACATGAGCGTCCATTCACCGAAGAAGGAGGAAGAAGCCGCACCGCTACTGATCGGAATCAATAGCTCTTCGTGAGCCGCTGTGGGCCATCTATGCCAAGCGCGTCACCCTCGTTCCAAACAACATACAGCTCGTCAGCCTCATCTATGTTGAACACCCTAATAACTCAGCAATACTCAACCATCACAACAAAACGGTCCTGTTCAGGACCACCATACATTTGTTAAAGAGTATTTTCTGGATATTTGTCAAGATCATCAACCGGATGTCAGTTCTCATAAGGGGCTGTTGATTGACTACGTATACAATTTTTTTTTTGATTCTTGCCCCCCTGCGTAGACAATTGTCGATACACAATTTTCAAAATTTGTATGGACCGTGGATAATTCCCAACCCTCCTAAACTGCCTACGTAGTTAATGAGTTTAAATTTAACATGCCATGTATTTTTAAGGCAACATTGGGGGTGCACTTTCAAAAACCAAAGACGGTCGCGGCATGAAAATGGTCTGATTTTGATCCAGAGATGATGGATTCAAATTCTGAATACGCCAATCGATAGGAAATTTTTCAAAGAATCTGTTGAAGTTAAGACTTTATAAATTTTCAAAAGATCACTGTTACTATGATCACCGATTGCCTGCGAAAAGCGCTTTCCCTTAACACAGATTTCAAAATCGAATTCCAACCGGTCCCGCCGAAGGGTGTTTATTCAATCATCGCGTGTGGTGAGTGCTGGTGTCCGGTCATCATCATCATCAGCAGCAGCAGCAGTGTTTTCGGCGCGGGGCGTTGTGCATTTTTCTCCAGTACACATCGAAAGCCTCCCCGCAAGCAGCCAGCTATCAAGGCTGCCCTCAAGAGCCCTCGATTTACCGAAGAAGGAGGAAGAAGCTGCACCGCTACTGATCGGATTCAGTTGCTCGTCGTGAGCCACAGTGTGCCAAGATTGATGAGGCCATGATTTAGACTTGCAGAATGCTTTAAAACCTTGATAAAACTTGCCATGTTACTTGGGTATCGTGAACCAGCGCGTGATAATCTCTATCCGAAAGATTGATATTTGGCAACCGCTCAAGAATTTTTGGAACAATGAGCAAGGGAAAGACGCTAGAAATCACCATCGTCTACAACACGCGCACGCAAGTTTACGTTCAAATGATGTTGTTCGACCTAGAAGAATAAATAGATGACTCCATTCACCAAGAAGTAAAAACAATCATCTAGTTTCTTCTAACTCAGTTGCTGTAACAGGAAACGGAAAATAAAAACAAAAACACTAGAAAAAGAAACAGAAAACAATCGAATGACAGATGTTAAGGATGAAAATACAGATAGAGTTTTTAATTTTGCCAAAAACCGAAAAATGAAAGGAGCTTTGAATATCTCGTTTGTTTTTTTTTCTTTTTTGAAAATGAAGACAATTCGTCCAAAAGTGATTGATTTCACATTTAGTTTTTGATGTCTTAGCATCCGTCATCGGAGGGAAATATGCACTACACAAACAACCAAATTGGATCTACTACAATCTAATAATCGCTAGGCAGAGGGAGGGATCTCATCTACTGTACTGGATTGCTAGAAGAAGGACTTTCTGAGAACACGTAAACAATCACACAGAAGGAGACAGGGTTGTGTGGGTGTGCGTGTGTGAGTGTTGTGGGATTTGTGGATTTGATACGGCGGGGGGAAGAAGGGGTGGATCTCTGTAACAATCGACTCGAATTAGATACATACACAGATTGGGCTGCAGCCGCTTGCCGGCAAAGCTAAAGTGCAGTCCGTTTAGTAGCGTATTATCACTATCGGGCAATTCGTCCGAATCGTCGTCATTTTCTGAGTAATCATCTTCATCGTCAAAATCAGTGTAATCATTGGAGCTATTCTGCTGTGTCTCATCGTACCGGAGGAAGCTAGTGCTAGAGCTAGAGGAAGAATGTGAGGAGCCGACACCGACACCGATTAATGTGCCACCACCGTTTCCACCGCCGCCGCCGACGCCAACGCCACCCAGATGATGATGCTGGTGGTGCTGGTGGGGGTGTAGCTGTTGCTGATTCGCCTGTTGATGGTGGTGTTGATGCGCCGCAGCGACGGATGATGGTGATGATTGTGATGATTGTGGGTGGTGGTACCGGTGATCCATCTCGGCTGGATGGTCACGCGATTGAGAGTGGGGGGAGGGTTGTTTTGATTTGTTTGAAGTTTCGTTGTTGATTTGTTGTTGTAGGTGGTGTTGATTTTTTTTTTTATTTTTTTGTTATTACAGTTACCAAATTGAAATTGAACAATAGAGAAGAGTGAGGAAGAAAATGAAGTCACAATTAATTACAAAACATTTAATCACATTTTGTACTTAATACTAAGACTAAGTGAGATGGAGGATGTGTGTTAGTCACCAAAGTTATTCGATTAATTTTTGATGGGTTGGAGTTCTACAAGTGTTGCAAATTGTACATTATTCGTTCTACGAGCTTCAATTTCGTCCTAACGCATTTAAACGGCAAAAATGGAATGGAAAAATGGGTTCGCTTGAAGTGCTAGAGAAATAAGGGTGTAAACTAAGCTTTCGAACTAAAGGATCGTACCAACAATGGCGCAGCCAGGAATTCGGTCTGAGCAAAGCAATAACTTTTTTTTTGTTCTACGGTCAAAGGTTTTTGTTCTACGATTTTTGTCCATTTTTGTCCATGGTTTTCACATTCAGCCATGCATTTTTCATGAACCATTACATCTTTCATTTAAATATGATTTTTCTCCAGAGTAACTTTGAAAAAGGCGTATTCAAAAAATGGATTATATTTTTTCAAAAATATAATAACTTGATCAAAATAACATTTGAGAAAATTTGTAGATAATTAAATGTTATTTGAGAAAAAAAAAATACACTGGCAGAAAAAAAATCAGTGAATTCAAAGTAAAAACATAAAACGTTGATTTTCTCAAAACATCCCCCTTCGATTTTTATAATTTTTTTTACTAAAGAAAGCTGAAGTAGTGCTCTACAATTTGGTGACGAATGTAAGCTGGTAATTGGATTCATTTTTTTTTTCAAAATATGATGAAATTGTATATTTCTTAGCTAAATAATAATTTACTTGGAGTCTACGCATAATTTAAGTCCAGACATTTCCAGTCTAGAATTGGCAACATTTTAGACCATTTTCAAATGTTAGTCTCGATTTACAGCAACAAAATGTATTTTCCATGTTTGTATATTAACTTCTTTCTTCTTCTTCGCATTCAAGCTTATTGCATATCGCATATTAGCTTATTGCGTGCTCTCAACTTAGTGTTCTAGATGCACTTCCACAGTTATTAATTGAGAGCTTTCGATGCCTGTACCATTTTTGCATTGGTATAATTGTGTGGCAAGTCCAATCATACTTTTATGCCCAGGGAAGTCGAGAAATTTTCCAACCCGAAAAATTCCTAGACCGGACCGGGAATTGAACCCAGCCACCTCCAGCATGGTCTTGCTTTGTAGCTGCGCCTTTACCGACTGAGCTAAGGGAGGCCGGTTTGTATATTAAATAACAAACAATTAATCCTCAGATATGGTAGCTGTCAGACTTACCCGTTTCTATCTGGGCGCAGCGGAAGAGAAACAAGTTGAGTTGTCAAATGAAAGATTGGTATTGTAATAGATAAGAAACAGTATTTGAGAAAATCAAAGTTTTATGTTTGTTACTATGAGAACCTACTGTATTTTCTATTAGTGTATTTTTTCTCAAAAAAAGCATTTAATTACCTACAACTTCTTCTCAAATGTCATTTTGATCAGATCAATCATTGTCATGTTATGATTTTTTGAAAAAATATAATCAATTTTTTTGAATACACCCTTTTCAAAAGTTACTCTTGAGGAAAAAAAAATACATTTAGATGAAAAATGAAGTCATTGGTAGCAGTAAAGAAGTGAGCAATGTTTAATTCAAATCGGAAGGGGTCGAGACAAAAGTGACATTTTTTAGCGTTTTTGGCTGGAAATGCTCTATACTTTTTGAAATATTTCTGTTTTATCATTTTTTTTTTTTAATTTTTACTCAATATTATAAAAAAGTACCGTGTATGTTTTTCGCAGAAAGACTTAATTTTTCTCTACAACTTTGTTGCAGACGTCATTTTAATCAGAAGTGACGTTTACATGCTACAGTTTGTTGAAAAATGAACACGCCATTTTGATTAAAAATTAGCAAGATCCAAATCTGTCTTTTACATTTCAAGCTGTTCAATTGTTAACTTGTTAACTTCGAACTGTTCAGCTTTCTACAAATAAATATCTATGTCTATATAATATCGTGACGTATATATACCGGAAATCAATGTCTCACGCCATTTTGAAATCCAAGATGGCGGCTTCCCTTTATAGAAAAACTGGGAAATAATGCCAAATATCCTCCAATATGGGTATTTTTGGAATCTGGATGACGTATAAATACCGGAAATCAAGGTCTGACGCCATTTTAAAATCCAAGCTGGTGGCTTCTGGTTGGATAAAAACTGGGAAATAATGCCAAATATCCTCCCATATGGGTTTTTTGGAATCAGGATAACGTATATATACCGGAAATCAATGTCTGACGCCATTTTTGAATCCAAGATGGCGGGTTCCCTTTATAGAAGCCGCCATATTGGATTTAAAGATGGCGTCAGACATTTATTTTCGGTCTTATTACGTCATCCTGATACCAAAACTACCCATATTGAAGGATATTTGACATTATTTCCCAGTTTTTCTACAACCGGAAGCTGCCATATTGGATTTCAAAATAACATCAGACATTGATTTCCGGTCTTTATACGTCATCCTGATTCCAAAAATACCCATATTGAATGATATTTGACATTATTTTCCAGTTTTTCTATAACCGGAAGCCGCAATCTTGGATGTCAAGATGCCGTCAGACATTGATTTCGGGTACGTATACGTCATCCTGATTCGAAAAATACCCATAGTGAAGGATATTTGGCATTATTTCCCAGTTTTTCTAAAACCGCAAGCCACCATCTTGGATTTCAAGATGGTGTCTGACATTGATATCCGGTCTATAAACCTCATCCCGCCATTTCAAAATGGCGTCTGACATTGATTTCCACTCTCTAGACATCACCCCGATTCCAAAAATACCCATATTGAAAGATATTTGACATTATTTCCCAGTTTTTCTATAACCGGAAGCCGCCATCTTGGATTTCAAGATGGTGTCTGACATTGATATCCGGTCTATAAACCTCATCCTGATTCAAAAAATACCCATATTGAAGGGTATTTGCTACTATTTCTCAGTTTTCCTATAACCGGAAGTTGAAGAATGTCAAATGGTGTCTGACATTGATATCCGGTCTAAATTGGTCATCCCCATTCCGAAAATACCCATATTGAAGCGTATTTGCTACTATTTCCCAGTTTTCCTACAACCGTAAGCCGCCATCAAATTAAATTTCTTTTTCAAGTTCAATTAGTATAAAATTCAGGAAAAATATTCAGTTAGGCTTCCGCTTTTCCAAATCCGAATTGCCGGGCCTTACGCTTGACCCCTGCCATCAGATTTTGTACAGCCACCTTGTCCACCTTCTTCGCCGCAGAAAGCCAGTTTGCCTTGAACTGCTGCTCGCCCTTAGCAGTTTTTTTTTGGTCTTCTTTAGGTTCCGCTTGACAATAGCCCAGTATTTCTTAATTGGGCGGAGCTCTGGCGTGTTGGGAGGGTTCTTGTCCTTGGGATCCACCTGCACGTTGTTGGCGGCGTACCACTCCATGGCCTTTTTACCGTAATGGCAAGATGCCAAATCCGGCCAAAACAGTACGGAACAACCGTGTTTCTTCAGGAAAGGCAGCAGACGTTTATTCAAACACTCTTTCACGTAAATTTCTTGGTTGACAGTCCCGGAAGCTATGAAAATGCTGCTTTTCAAGCCACAGGTACAGATGGCTTGCCAAACCAGATATTTCTTTGCGAACTTTGACAGTTTCATGTGCTTGAAAACATCTGCTACCTTTCCCCTTCCTTTTGCCGTATAAAACTCATGTCCCGGAAGCTGCTTGTAGTCGGCTTTGACGTAGGTTTCGTCGTCCATTACCACGCAGTCAAACTTCGTCAGCATCGTCGTGTACAGCCTCCGGGATCGCGCTTTGGCCATCGTATTTTGTTTATCATCGCGATTTGGAGTCACTACCTTCTTGTAAGTCGATAGTCCGGCTCGTTTTTTGGCTCGATGCACGGTTGTAGACGATACACCCAGCTTATTTGAGGCATCTCGGAGAGAGAGGTTAGGGTTTCGCTTGAAACTACCGGCAACTCTCTTTGTCGTCTCAGCGGCTTCCGGTTTTCGATTTCCCCCCGATCCAGACTTCCTGGCTGTCGACAAACGTTCCCCAAACACTTTAATTACATTTGTAACGGTTGATTTGGCAACTTTTAGCGATTTTGCCAACTTTGCGTGCGAGTAGCTCGGATTTTCGCGATGCGCGAGCAAAATTTTGATACGCTGCTCTTCTTGCTTGGACAGCATTTTGACAACTGAAGAGTGAATTCCAAAATCAAAATAGGAGCAGAGCTGCCAGGTGGTTTTATAAAAAATCTGTATCCACTCTATTAAAAAATCTGTATTTTCTGTATTGACGATTTTTTTCTTAATTAATCATGTTTTGTTGTTTTACAAATACAGTGCATACAAAATAACCATAAAAAGTGCTTAACCACCTATTCGGGCTATCGTACTAACCATACGGGATATAATTGCGCCATTTGTGATATCGTCCGTACTTATTTATAAGAGTGATATGAAGCCGTTTGAAAATGTATGGAGATTTTAGTTTCTATTCATTATCTTCCTGATAAGCAGTTTTAAATGCAAAAAGTGCACGAGTTCCTTACTATTTGATATTTTTAATATAGATGAATACAATTAATTACATCATTTGTGTGGTAGTTACACCGAAAAGTCGAGAGATGTCGCCCCGCCAGTGCTGGTAAAATCATTTTTGCAGTATGGAGAATATCAGAAAATCCGCAATTTTTTACGAAATACATTTTCAATGCGAAACTACCGTGACGGGCGTGACTGCGTTTTCCGTTGGAGGGAGTGAGAGAAGCATAAAAGAAACAACAATGCCTCGAGCAGATCCCACTGCAAAAAATATGGTTTTT